TTCCAATATGATCCGCTTGTGGCTATCGAACACTTAAAATGTGGCTAGTCTTAAGAGAGATGTGATATAAGTATATAACATATATCAGCTTTCAAAGACTTACTACCAAAGACGAGAACGTGAAATATTTCATTAATATTTAAAATTTTTGGTTACCTGCCAAAATGATAATTTGGATATACTGCAATAAAGAAGACATTATTAAATTAACTTCACCTGTTTTTCACTTTTTAAAATGTGGCTACCAGGAAATTTAAAATTACATATGGGGCTTGCATTGTATTTCTTGTCTTTTCTTTTTTTAAGGGGATGGGGAGCTCTCTGGGAACTCGTTTTATAAATTTATTTATTTTTGGCCGTGTTGGGTCTTCATTGCTGCGTGCGGGCTTTCTCTAGTTGCGGCAAGCCAGGACTACTCTTCATTGCAGTGCGCTGGCTTCTCATTCCGGTGGCTTCTCTTATTGCAGAGCATGGGCTCTAGGCGCGTGGGCTTCAGTAGTTGTGGCACGCAGGCTCAGTAGTTGCGGCTCACAGGCTCTAGAGCACAGGCTCAGTGGTTGTGGCACACGGGCTTAGTTGCTCCACAGCATGTGGGATCTTCCTGGACCAGGGCTTGAACCCGTGTCCCCTGCATTGGCAGGCGAATTCTTAACCACTGTGCCACCAGGGAAGCCCCTTGCATTGTATTTCTACTGGAAGGTGCTGTTCTAGACGTCTCAGGGTGACTTTCAGCAATCCTGAGGTGAGTGAGTGGCCAAGATGTGAAAACACCAGCAGGATGGGTTTAACACACCAGCATCCCTTGGGGAGTCTCAGAAATAGGTGCGTCAGGAAAACCCCATAGAAGATTGGCTTGGGCCACATTAGTTGGGTATAAAAGGGAAGAATGACCTCAGAGGGCTGGACCCACGGGCTAAGTCCAGGAATAAGCGAACTAGTGATTTTCATTTTGCAGTGGCCTTTGTAAATGGCTGCGTCAGAACATCTGTCCAGAAACCCAAGATGGGGCTGAGGGGTAAGAACCCCCCAGGTGCATTCCAAAGTGCTTGGAAGTGGCTTCTAGGTGTAGCAACCAACTAGGTGGTTCTATTTTAGAGCCTTGGGGGTTTGTTCACAAAAACCCTGTTAGATCGTGGCTATGTTGTATGGATTTTATACCATGGGTCAAATCATAAATACCCACGTGCCACAATTCCATATTACGAGAACATGATATTACTCAGAGCAGTGGACACAGTCAGTGCTCTGCCCAGATCCTTTTCTGGCCCATTCCCCAGCTCTTGTGACTCTGCTGCTAAAAACTACAGCTGTGGAGAATTCCCTGGTGGTCCAGTGGTTAGGACTCTGCGCTATCACTGCCGCCAAGGGCGCGGGTTCAATCTTTGATCAGGGAACTAAGATCCTGCAAGCCATACGGTGTGGCAAAAAACAAAACAAAACAGAACTACAGCTGGATGATTGCCCGTAGGCTACGGGTGCCCCCGTTGCCTGTTCAGAGAGCCGAAGGCCCCATAGCTAATGACCGACTCGTGTAGGTACACGAAACTCGGCCTCCAGATGGAAGAACTGAGCTGCCACTTATGCTCTAGAGCTCTCCTGTGACCAGGCTGAGGCTACATCTGAAATCAGGCTCTTGACTTCTTCCCATTCCTGGCCCTGATCCCTCCACTCCCTTCCTGGTTTCTCCTGGAGGCTCTTCCTTAATAAGTCACTTGTTCCCAAACCCTCACCTCGGGATCTGCTTTTAGGGAGCCCCACCAGAAACACTGTCAGACTTTACTGTGGGTGTTGGTCTTGACCTTGGGTGGTGGCCATTTAATATACACCTACTGAATGCGTGTGGGATTCCAAACCCTTGAGATACCCTTGCTGAGAGCCCTGACCCTGTGTGCAGAGGGGCAGGGGCTGGAGGACCAGGAGAGGGCCCGCGTATGGCCTGCCTCCTTCCAGGCCGTGGCCGTGAAGCAACCATGAACATCACACCAAAAGCCACATGACTTCCCATCTGACCATTTATTTTCTTGCTGTTTACTCAGGTTCTTCCCCAAACGTCTTTTGATCTCCAGCATGGCCTCTCGTCCAGAAAGCTGAAACTGTGCCCCGCTTCTTGCCATCTTCATGATACCCCCTGCTCTCTTATACAAAATATTTCAAAATAAAGATTGAAACAGGAACTTAGCTGAGTTTTGCAACACAGAAGTGTATTCTAGGTCTACATTTATAGAAAGTGGTGGGTGGGGAAGACTGATGAGTCCAGGGGGAACTGGGGGAGATGTCCGTGCCAGGGGTAGTCACATGAGTGGGCAAGCAAGATGGGAATGAGTGAGTCCTGGGGGCTCCAGAATCATCAGAAGTTACTGACTTATTGATGGGGAGAGCCTTAGAAAAATCTAGAAACACACACTGTCTCCACCTGGGAAGCACTCACTTCCCTTTAAGGCAGACTAGAAAAAAATGAAAGAAAGCCCCAAAACCCATATTAACCAAACACACACACACACACACACACACACACACACACACACACACACACA